CGTGTCCTCTCAGTGGACTATTTTAATAAGTAATCCATAAACTCATTTCTCACCTGAAATCAGAGCCTTTTCTTTTGCCCCTCTCTGGGATTCCTGGGTCTGGACACATGTTGTGTCCTTGCGCCACCCCCATCTGTGATACTGCAAAAGACAAAACGGAAGAAAAAAAGTTGGTTTTCACTGGGGTACCCCATCCAACAGCAGGTCAGGATAATGCTACCCCCACTTTTCATTTTGCTCTTGAACATGGATGTCATTAAATATCAACACATGTATTAAATGCTTACACTTTTATTAATCTCGACTTAACATTTATGAGGTTTATTCATATGATGACAAATATTGTTTTTGAGTGAACAGTTTAAGTTAAACACTTAGTGTATAACAGGGGCTTCCCAAACAATTTTTTTTTTCAGTTGAACACCTTTGACATTGTCACGCCCATGGACTGCCCCTGTGTTCCTGTCTTGTGTTTTGCTCCCCATGTGCTCCCCGTGACCCAGTTTCTCCTCGTGTTGATTGTGTTCATTTGATTCAGTTTTGTCTCTGTAATTACCTCGTTTAGTTCCTGTTATTTAGCCCAGTGTTTTCATGTGTCGAGTGTCCGGTGTCTAATGCCATTTTGAGTCTCCTGCATTCCCTATGTTCCCTGCTTTTTGAGCTTATTAAAGTCTATTTAAGTTTATTCCCACGTCTCCTCATCTCCTCGCTCCCCGCTCCTCAGGAGTGTGACAGAACATCGGACCAAATACAAAGATGACAGAGGCTGAGGATCGGCTGTGGTGTCTCCGGCAGGGTGGCCGGCCTTTGGAGAGGTATGTGGAGGATTTCCTCGAGCTCTCCAACCGGGTGAGCTGGCACAACGCCGCACTCGGAGCCTGTTTTCAGCTGGGGCTGGATGAAGAACAATCCGCTGCGATCTCCCCACGTGTGATTTTCCCTTGATCGAGCTGATTAATCTTGTCCTCTAATTTAATGGTTCCGATTTCGAAGTAGAAGAAATAAAGGAGAATTTAAAGTCTCCTCATCCAGCCCCCTCTGGAACACACCGTGTCTCACCAGCTCACACCATGCCAGGAACCCCCACATACCTAACCAAGGGTTCTGACCACCTGTCACCTCTGAGGTACCCCCGAGGCCGTAGACGGAGGTCTGACTGGACAGACCCCACATCCCAGTCGGGCAGGGCCGCACTCCTTTCGACTTCCCTTTTCCTGACTCCAGTCCCAAGATCCGTCTCAGTCCAGGATCGCCGGCCGCTCCTCCGTCAAGCCCGCCGGCCGCTCCATCATCAAGCTCGCCGGCGGCTCAGCAGTCAAGCCCGCTGGCCGCAGCACTCTCAAGCCTGCCGGCCGCTCCGAAGTCAAGCCCGCTGGCTGCTCAGCAGTCAAGCCCGCCGGCCGCTCCATCGTCGAGTCCGCTGACCGCTCCATTGTCAGGCCCAGTGGCCGATTCACTCCCAAGCCCTAGGATGACAGCAGTTATCTCCTTCACCTCTGCACAAAAAAGGAGAATGCGGAGGAAGAGACTGTGGGCTCCAACCCGAGTCCGCTCCAGTGTCAGCTCCAGCCCCTGACCAGAGTCAAGACATGGCTCTAGCCCCAGTCCCGAGTAGAGAGAGGGCTGCTGTTTCCACGTTGAACCCAGGGAGGGCTCCAGTTCCTGAGTTTAGCCCAGAGAGGGCTCCTGTTCCCACGTCCAGCCCAGAGAGGGCTCCGGTTCCTATGCCCAGCCCAGAGAGGGCTCCTGTTCCCACATCCAGCCCAGAGAGGACTCCTGTTCCCACGTCCAGCCCAGAGAGAGACTCGGTTCCCAAATTCAGCCCAGAGAGGGCTCCTGTTCCCAAGTCCAGCCCAAAGAAGGCCCCAGAGAGGGCTGCTGTTTCCAAGTCTGGCCCAGGTGCCTGCTCTGCCATGGCTCCCCGAGCTGCCCGCTCTGCCATGGACCCTTGAACTGCCCGCTCTGCCATGGCTCCCTGAACTGCATGATCCACCATGGGTCCCGGAACGGGTACCGCCCTGGAGGCCTTCAGTCCCGTGTAAGCTTGTCCCTAGAGGCCTCCAGAACGCCCAACCCCACTCCCCGTTGGAAGTTATGAGGCGCATGGACGCACGCGCCTTCCGGGAGGGGGAGGTAATGACACGCCCATGGACTGCCCCTGTGTTCCTGTCTTGTGTTTTGCTCCCCATGTGCTCCCCGTGACCCAGTTTCTCCTCGTGTTGATTGTGTTCATTTGATTCAGCTGTGTCTCTGTAATTACCTCGTTTAGTTCCTGTTATTTAGCCCAGTGTTTTCCTGTGTCGAGTGTCCGGTATCTAATGTAATTTTGAGTCTCCTGCTTTTACTTTTACAATTTGGTCTTCACGAATTTTTTGTTATTTAATTTTATTATAATTCATGGACTTATTATATGATTTAGATTTACATTTTAACAATTTTTATTATTCACCATAACCTAACTGAGGGCAATTGAGTGGAACAATTCAATATGAATTCATAGTTTATTGCTATTGTGACATCCCTTCAATTCACAATATAGGCCTGTACATAATTCATATAATTATATAGTGTAATTCAGATGTGCATATTTTAATGGGTTAACTGATTTATCATTATTTAACATAATTTTCAAAATTCATGCAGTATTCTCATTTAGTGAACAGAATAATTATTTGATTTAGAGTTTTACAATCATGCTGTTCTTTTAAAAATAAAACAACAAAAAAAATATATATATATATCAAATGTTTCCATTTGCATCCCTTAATAATATACTGAAAGATGCATCATCATCCTGTACTTGCTAAACCTATAAAAGCACACTGTTCTTAAAGGGCATCTTCTTCTATTTTTGTTGGTAGGAGAAAAAAAAGGGCCATATTTTGCCTAAAATGTAAGATACTCAAGATTACCATCTGGTTTAATGACCTACTGCATAAAAGCAGTATCACACTTGCACCTGTGCAGTTGGTTTGAACATCAGCATGGATTTACCTTGTGAAGAGAGCAAGGCTATCTGTAAATGTACTCGAATGTCTACACAGCCTGCCCAGGACGTTTATTGAATGAACGAAAGAATCAATCAGTCCTTCCAAGAATGGCAAGATATTTTCAGACATCATTAAGCGAGCACAAAATTTTCCCTGGCATCAAAACACACAAGCTCATCCAGCCCCGCAGGAAGTGGATATGACATGCGGGGTCAAGGAGGATAGTCACAGCCTCGCTTTCTGCAATAGGTACCTAGGAGGCAGGAGAGGATAGTAGAGGGAAAACCTGAAGTGACACATGTTGATTGGCCGAGGCACGCCTGGGTGCTGGCACTCATGCATACTGATGTGGGACAAAAGGCCAAACTTGTCAGCGCTTCCGTTGAGACACTGCCGGCCACGGTGATGGTACTGGGATCCCTGATGACACCCTCAATTGGGCACAAGCTCACATGGGCAGGCTGACATTTTCTCACAATGATGCAGAGGTAATAGAAATGTAAATAAAGTCGGCATAACAGAAGAAAGCAGGCTGAAGAAGCCTCTCAGCACACAGTGCAATTACCCCTCCTCGATAAGCTTTTTCTCTCTCTGTTTGCCATCAATGGAAATGGTAACTTATTTTCCCTCCCCTCTGGCCTTAGGGAGAAAAATAGCTCCATTTGTCTCCAATTGACAGAGCTTAGAATAAAGATAACATTAATGTTTAAGGTTGTGTGCTTGTGCCAAGCGTGAGGACATGCTTCAAGTGTGCCACTGCTTTCACCAATGAGTGGACAATGGAATCTACATGCTTAAAAAACCCTAAAAATACATCAGGAAAATGCAAGAAATTTTTGGCTTTAAATTGTTATATATTTTAAGGTCAACTAAGATTTCAGAGTTGTGAATGTTTTGTTTCGGTTCACTCCTACTTGATATGAATAACACAGAAGGGACATATTCCTAAATCAACCTTCCTGTCAACCAAACACAGCACTAATAAATATACTACTGTTCAAAAGTGTAGGGTTGGTAAGATATTTTTGATATTTTTTAAAGAAATATCTTATGTTCACCAAGTCTGTATTTAAAAAAATAAAATAAAAAAATAAATAAAAAATACAGTAAAACAGTAATATTGTGAAATATTACAATTTAAAATAACTGTTTTCTATTTTAATATATTTTATTATGCAATTCATTCCTGTGATGGCAAAGCTGAATTCTCAGCATCATTACTCCAGTCTTCAGTGTAACATGATCAAAAAAATTATAATAATTATTATAATAAACTGAATTCAGAAATAATTCTAATATGCTGATTTGGTTTCTAAGAAACATTTTGTAAAGTGTGCTGCTTATTTTTATTAATTAATTTATTTAGAAACCAATATGTTTTTTTATTTATTTTCAGCAAAATTAATGTAGTACATACTGTTATCATTACATAAAATTAATCATAAACTGAGATATTGCATTCCTGTATATCAAATAGTAGATCATTATGCTAGCAATGTCATGGTCATTGGTTCAACTCCCAGGGGATGCATGAACTGATAAAGTATACCTTGTAGGCAAATGTAAATCACTTTGGATAAAAGCATCTGCCAAGTCAATTCATGTAAACGTAAAGCTGATTTAGGAAAATGTCCTTCATGTACATGGAAAGGTTGACTTACAAACTGATATCTTGCTGTGGTTGTCTTTACTTGGCAGCATCTTCACCCCTCTGGACTTCAGTTCTGTCATCTTCTTCACTGGAAGTCAAAAGAATTATAACATGTTTATTTAAGAGCAGGAAGGATTAGAAAAAGCTGAAAAAACTATATTCACTGGCCAGATGCTTGCTAGGCATTACAAATCATGAACCACATTGTAATTACAATTACAGTCTTTCAAAGAAGCTGTCATTCTTGTGCAAAAAAAGCCTATTGTGTGTGAACAAAGTGCAGCATATTTGTTGAAAAGCGACAAACTAATGCCAGCACGCATTAGTACGCACGCACGCACGCACGCGTGCACACACACACACAGACACACAGACACACAGACACACACACACACACACACACACACACACACACACACACACACA